GGTTGTTGTTTTTAAATTTTAGTTGTGGCACCACTTGTGTGGGAGCATGTCAAGGTTTCGAGGGTCATATTTAAAACAGTTGTTACTTGGTGGCAGTCTAGGCATTCAGGCCCCAGTTCCCTGTCTGCCATATTAGAACTATCACCTATCCTGTCCATCTGCTACTCCTAAGCAATGTTGGGGTCTACTATACCCAGCTTCCAGGTTTTCCTGGAATACGTTGAAACTGCAGTATGTTAGCAAGGATAGGTAGCAGTATTCTGAAACAGCAGAATAAGGCGAAGGGGAAATATGTGATCTTTACTGTGCAATGTGTTCCCCATACTTCAGAAGGGTGTGCAGAACTGGACTCCTCCCGACAAGATATGGCAGTCACCCCCAAAGGCTCCATTATCATCGATAATCCCAAAGCTGAGATTTTGACCCATACTGGTCTAGTGAGTATATTGTTGGCATGCATGCATACATGTGGATCATCTAAGCAGTGAATTCCTTCCATTTTGTTTATATGAAATGTACCTTTTAACACTTTGGGTACTTCTTAGTACAGCTATGTTCATTAGTCTTTCTGCTCAGCAATATATCGCTGAATGTTCTAGAATTTGATCAGTTTCTTTTTCCCCTCAGAAACAACTGTCAATTTACCCAGCTGCAAGGAGGCACTAGCTCTGCTGTAATGGATTCTGTCAATACTCTTGTCCATTGTGTCCACCCATAGGAATTGTTTTGCTGAACAAATGAACCTGGAAGGGGAGAGATAGACCTTTTTCCCATTCCAGGGATGATGATGATGCAGGGTTTATAGAGACAGTTTTGATCAGCAAAGATACACATAGTGTTTTTTTTGGGGGGGGGGCCTCTTCACCTGCACTGCAGCCCTAAACCAAATTGCAACCCTGTATAACTTTCATTGCACCCACCCATTTGTTTAGTTCTCAGCTTGTTCGGTCCTCCTGAGCCTATTCTCCCAACTATTTCACATTGCTTAAGCCACTGCCCCACCTGCTGTTCATACTCTGAAATAGCTTAATACTCTACAATAGCACTGGTTTCTGAAGTGAGGACTGCTAGTAATTTGATTTAGTATTTGGATGGGAGACCACCAAGGAAGTTCAAGGTCGTGACGTGAGGCAGAGGCAAGCAATGGCAAGCCACCTTGAATGTCTCTTGCCTCGAAAACCCTACCCGGTTGCCATGTCAGCTGTGACTTGACAGCCGTTTCCACCTCCACCAGGAACCTGATCACCACTGCTAACGTTCTAAAAAATTCAGTTTAGTCATGCCGGCCACATGACCACGGAAACGTCTTCGGACAGCGCTGGCTCTTCGGCTTTGAAACGGAGATGAGCACCGTAACCCTAGAGTCAGATTCGACTGGTTTTCGAGCAAGGGAACCTTTACCTTCACCTTTAACTTCATATGAATAGATTTACATACATGTGCTTCTGCCTTCTTCCATGCTCCTTTCCACTGAAATTTAACACTCATAGATCCAAAAGAGGCTGAGATGTGAAGAATGGCAGACTAGTAACACACATTTACCAACTTTTTATAAGTACTCTGAAAATCTCCTTCAAAAATGAAAGTAGGCCAAAACAAGGGGCTTGCAAAAAATATTCCTATTGAAGGGGATTCTCCTGCACTTCTCTGGCCTAAGCAAAGATGTAGGAGTCTCCCAGATACCATTCTCAGCCCCAGAAATGAGAGTGAAGTGGCTAACAACTCACAACATTTCCCTGTGGTTATGGTCAAATGTGCTATGAGCGAACCAAATCAGAATTAAGATTTACACATGAGCTATGGTATATGGATAACGGTAATAGGTTAATTTTTTTTCTTTTTAAGAACACAGATAACCATGTTACTGAACTTTACCAAAAGCTTCTAAAGCTCGAGCAAGAGACTGAAGTACTCAGAGATATTAATAGAGCTCTAAGGGAAGAAAATGTACTCCTGAAAGAAAAAGTGAAAGAATGCCAAACAGAAACCCCAGGTTAGTACCAGGCACATTAAAATGGCAGTCTTCTTCTTTGTGTGTGTTATACTTTGACCACCTTAAAGGAATTCTTCATATTTTAACACGCTGTTTGGAGTTGTGGCTGCCAGGTAGGATTTTCACATTTGATTATTGTAATACCCCACTCAAAGGTCATTTTGCTTGTGTTGCTTTGCACACAAAAGTTCACACCTTGAATAAAACTTTGTTGGTCTTAAAGGTGCCACTGGACTCTAACTTTGTTCTATTGCTTCAGACCAGCACGGCTGCCCACCATGAAGTATAAAGAATGTTAGGGTCAGGATGGGGGAGAACCTGAAAAAGTCTCCTTCCACAAACTTGTCGGCTTTCAATAAATGTTGAGAAGTGAAATGATTTATACTTTGGGAACGTGGCTAAGTTAAGCTCCCCACAAATCCTGTAACCCACTATGTGTCATCCGAAGGCAACTATTTTAACTGACCATTAGATATTACATTTGAAGAGGCTTTTAGAGATACTTTCTTGATTTGGGGGTCCTAATTATCACTTTTTAGAACTACTATCCTCATTTAATGCGTTTACCTTCCTCTTACACCCATCCCATATAGAAATCTCCCACCTTTGTTTAGGATGAAGGGACAAATCTTGATTGTTTTAATACATTAAACTTGATTCTCCCACAGCACGTATGTTTTGACTATAATAGTTATTCATACTAATTTCTAAATCTTTTTCTTCTAGGCAAGACACTAAAATCACCCATAAAGAAGCTAGCTACTAAGACAACTCCATCTGTATCAAAAGATTCTCATGCAGTGTGCAATCCTCGGATAAGCTGTGATGCTGAATTTGCAAAAGCCCTCAAAGCCTTCTATCAGAATATGAATATAATCAGAGGACAGTTCTTAAAACTGAAGCACTACAGACCCCCTGTATGTAATTTAAGAGAATTTGAAAAAGAAATGTTAATTCCATCCTTGGTTAGAAGTAATTGGCCTTGTGTGAATCTGAAGGTACTGGGTTGGATCCAAGCTCCATTTATGGAATGGGATTTTCCTGCTTCTGTCATACTGCTGCAGTCTACTTGGTCGCCCCCAGTTGCCTCCAGGGTTTGGTGGGAGCACTAAGAACAATGTGATTGTCTACAGTGGGGGGAGGGAGCTGGTGAAAGCTGCCCCTCAGGTGACTGGAAGCAAGCATTAGATTTATCATGCTAACTCTAACCTTTGTTAGACACTTTGGCTTGGATCCTATATCTTTGCTCCACTTATGCTCCTCTGCAGGCACTGCAGAGTACATTGATGCTTTTCTGTGAACTATCAGCAATAAATCAGAGAACTCTTTTTTTTAGCGTGGTGAATGAAAGCGGTCAGAAAAATACTACTGTCTCGCTCGTTCTACAAATGATTATGAATTGTTCTGTTCCAGGGTAGTTGCAGTAACTGTAGAATGGTATACTCTGTATGAATGTAAATGAGCTCTACTACTATGGCTCAGGTTGTGGTTGTGCTCTTCCTTTCTAAACAAGTTCCCATTCCTTTGTTCCCTGATATTATTCCCTTATATTTTCATACTATGGCTACGGTTTCATTTCTACTGTTTGTTTTATTTCTAGGAAGAAGATAATGTACAGCTGCTGCGGCAGTTTGCTGAGAAGCAATCACACATGTTAAAGGATTTTGGAGACCAACTTGAGTCAAGTATAAGTAAACTGAAAAATGATGTTGCCTTAATAATTAAAAAGAAGCGAGAGAGAATTGCTAACAGCAAGCAATGAAGTTGTATTAGCAACTGTACTGTACCAAATAAAATAGTGCTTTACTGTAAGATTTCAACAAGATATACCTATTCAAACTAACTCCCTGCTGCAGGCCCTGCTGCATTAACAGGAGATCATATACATGCACTGCTGTGTGTTGGCCATTACTCACTACACGAACCAAATCCATGCTTAAACTATTCCTGCTATCACTTACAGCATGTAAGAAGAAACATGGGCTTCCCAGTTCTGAATGTCTGGCATACTGCACATGTGCAGGGGGGGGGGGGGGGATTCCATTGAGTCATATCTTGCTCACCTCTCATGGGACATAATTCAGAAATTCTTCAGAAATTCTGAAATATTTGCCTGAAAAAATTAAACTGGAGTTGGATATGAAGGAGTAATATATTGACACTAAGAAGCAATGTAATTTGAGCATAGTATGCTATGTGTGAGAGGTGGACTCAAGTAAGCTACGCAGAACCAAAGCCAATCGAAAGTTGTATTTTATTACATTACAAATGAAAGCAAAGGGAAAGAGATCTCACAGATTTTTACTTGCACATTAGTGCCCTGTTTTTGTCCTGAGATTATCAATTAAGAAATAATGTCATGCTTCAGTTGATCATATGTTCATATTTACATTGCAAAGCTAGTATTAAAACTTAGTATTATGATGTTGCTTTCTCTAACACTAAAATACTGCCATGCAGAAAAAAGTTAAGACCTCATTACCATTAAAGTTAGTTGTTGACTAATTTCCATGGAAAGCAATGTGACAATGCCTCTGTGGACATAAGCAAGCATAAGTTTATAGCTGAACTGAGGACCATAAGTAAAGTAGTACTGTCTGAGACACTACCCTATGTCACCAGGTTCTTCCTATGGGACACAATGCTGCTCTCCACAAAAGACCTTGGTTCTTTCTCTCTAGCTAAGGCACAATTTATTCACTTATAGTTAAATGTGTATATACTACTTTCACAGTGAGTATTCTAGCAATTAAAAACAACCTAAGATTATTGTAGCTAGCTTGATTCCCACTGAAAATGTTTGAAATAAACCAACCCATCCATTGTTTCTGAGTATTATTAAGTAGCAATATTAATCTAATTAAAAGAACACTATCAGTTAAGCAGTAATGCATTACAGTTTTTTCTTATACAGATTTCTAATAGTAATAATCAGTCTTACACCCATTGCAAGCAATAATATAAAAAAGATTTTCACATTTACATACAGTTACTTTGTAAGTATTTTATTAAATTGAGCAAACATTCTTAACTGAGCTTTTTTGGGCCATAAAAGTACAATATAGAGACTATTGGTTGTGTGGTCTCTTTGGAATGTTTATCTTCTTTCAGACTTCAGGTTGACTAATAACACAGAATTCAATGCCATGGTTGTTGAGTCTGTCAATGAGCTTTGTTTTGGAGAATGCAGCTCCAGGAGAATAGACACCACCTCTGTAAGAACAGCCATATATTTGTTGTTAATGATATAGAACTTCAAAATGGGAAGTAAAAAGGAAACTTTATCTTAGCTTGCTGACAGCCAGAATTCATATAGACAATGCTACACCATCTCATAAGGGAGTAGGGATTTTTGACCATAATACCACACACTGTTAATAACAAATCTAATTTAAGTGAATTCAAGAACTTTGTGGAAAAGTAAGTAAGCTGACCAAAAGGCTTATACTGCACTTGGCAAGCAAGTTTTGGTATGAACTACTTTTGCTTCTGCAAACTTAACCACCAGGGGAACTGTGAGGTCTCATGGGAGACAGTTTACTCTGCCCCTTACTTTATCTTTTTCCTCTTTCCTTTTCCCTCTCCCACCTAGCTACATCTTCCTGCCGCACTCTCCCCCATTCCTCCTTTTCCTCCCGATAGCCCCTACAGTTGTGTCCTCACCCATTCACCTATCTTTTTCTGCTTCTCTCCTTCACCTTTACCTCTCCTATTTCCCTGCTTCTCTTCTTCCTACCTTCCTCTCTTTTTAAACTTCTTCAGCCCTCCACCATCACTGGCTGAAACTAACTCCCACAATGGTCACACAATGTAATCTTTCATCTATGGTTGGGGGGTGTTTAAGCCCTCTTTTTACAAATAAATGATCTCAGATTTTTTTTACAAAAATTTGTAAAAAAAAAAAAAGTTCCTCCCTTTCTGTACATAGGCCCAGTGTGTGGATTTTTTGACCCACATTCAGGGGTCACATTCAGGGTTCAGACAAGCAAGATTAAAAGTTTCTATTTGCTCAAGTGGACTTGGACCAAACAAATAATATGGTCGTTCTGACCTACAATTATTATTTAATTTATACCCCTCTCTCCCCGCAAGAGCAGGCTCAGGGTGGCTTACACAGTTTCATACATAAATAACAATTAAAATCCACGTAAAATAATCTAAAAACAGTTCAATTATGAACAATTCAATGGCATAAAGTGCTGGCAATGTTTAATTAACTGCATTAACGATGGCGTACTGTATGAGTGCATACAAAGGTCTAACTAAACGTTCTGCTCCATGATCTTCCTGATACAAGTGGCGGCACAGGATGCAGATGTCAAAGCCAAGAGCCAGGGCTCTATAATTAAGATAGTTGGTGGTAATAGTGGTGGAGGCTCCTTAGTTGAAAGTCTGGTGGAAGAGCTCCATCTTGCAGGCTCTGCAGAACTGTAAAAGATCCCGCAGCGCCCTGATCTCTTCCGGGAGGTTGTTCCATCAGTACGGAGCTACCACTGAAAAAACCCTGGCCCTGGTAACAGCAAGCCTGGCATCCTTGAGACCCAGGAGGGCCCGTTGATTTTGAGACCCTGACCATAGTGATCTCTGGGGTATATATGGGGAAAGGCGGTCCCTCAGGTATGTCAGACCCTGGCCATATAAGAAGAAGATATTAGATTTATACCCCGCCCTTCACTTGGAGTCTCAGAGTGGTTTACAATCTCCTTTCCCTTCCCCTCCCCACAACAAACACCCTCTATGGGGTAGGTGGGGCTTAGAGAGCTCTTTCCAGACCCATCCTTGAGAGAATAGCTCTGACAGAACTATGGCTTGCCCAAGGTCATCCAGCAGCTGCAAATGAAGGAGTGGGGAATCAAACCCGGTTCTCCCAGATTAAGAGTCCTCACACTTAACCAGCACCTTGAAATGAATTTGGTATGCTATTGGCAACCAGTGCAATGTCTTCAGCACAGGCTAGATGTGCTCCCACCTGGGGAGGCGCATCAGAAGCCTGGCTGCAGCATTCTGCACTAGCTGCAGCTTCTGAATTTACGACAAGGGCAGCTCCATGTAGAGAGCGTTACAGTAGTCCAGTCTCGAGGTGACCATCACATAGATCACTGTTGCCAGGTCATTGCAGTTGAGGAAGGGAACCAGCTGCCTAATCAGCTGCAGATGGTAGAAGGTTGACTTGGCAGTGGCTGCTTCCTGGGCCTCCACTGCTAGAGGCATCCAAGAGCACTCCTAACCTCCGGTGCTGGCACCAGAGGCGCCCCATCGAAGGTCAGGAGTGGGATCCCTACCCCCGAACCACCCCGGCTCAGGCACAGGACCTCCATCTTCGTTGGATTCAGTTTCAGCCAGCTCAGTCTAAGCAATTCTTGCCAATTTATACCAAGGTCCTGATCCCACCAAGGGTTACCAGTAAAGGATTCGAGGCTGTTGTAGTTAAAATAGATATCTTTTACTTAAAATATATCTCATACAAACAATACTGATGCACTCACACATTCAATCAAGTTCCTGAGAATTACAGTATGAAATAAGCACAGTTGCATTAGCAGGTATGGGTGATGACAGGCGATACTTATCTGTCTTGCAGCTTGGTTGTTCCAATGAAGAATAGAGGGGAAGAAATGGAAACAAAGGGAATTCACACATGACCAGAACCAGCCGGAACATGTGGGCAGTAGAGGCAAGGGTTGGGGATAGCAAGTGGGACTCAAGAGGAGTAAAAGCAGACAGGGGTTGTTGCAGGGGGGGGGAATGCTATCTAGCCAGGTAGGAGGGGCCAGGTGACTGGTTCTCTCCTTTTATAAGGGGTCCAAGAGGTGGGTGGTAACTGTGCCAACCTCTTGACCCACCTACCTGTTAGCCCGTCCCAAAAACAATCCTATTGGTTGCATGTGGGGAGATTATCTAAGAGGGGTGGCCAATATTGTAACCTAAAACCTTACTCGAAGTATGGCATCTGGACAGGTGTGAAATCTAGGCATCAGGATGCTTCATTGTAATGCTGATGAAGCTGGCCAGTTCCTTTGATAACCAAATGTCCAGCTGGCAGGAAATTACAGCTCAGGAACAAAGCAGTCGATGGGTGGTACGTGACCACAAGCAGCTTTGTCATGGGGGCTGTTTCTTCCTAGAGTTGTTGTTTCATTGCTCACAATAATGGAGGTTTGTGCTTCTTCACCAGGCTGGGCAACTGTGTAACTGCAACCTTATCTACATGTAAGGTATGTGCAGGCACCCTCTATGTATGGCATCACAACAGGTGACCTAAAGTGTACAGCTTTCTGAGCTGTGTGTGTGTGTGCACAGTCCATGTGTAGCAATAAACAGTCCATAAAACAAATATCAGGCTTGTTCTCTAACAGGGCGCATATAGATGTTAAATAGCATCGGGGAAAGCACCGCCTCTTGAGGCATCCAGTGGGTGCCTCCTGGACTGCTGTTCCCCTAGTGCTACCCTTTGTCCCTGACCTTGGAGAAAGAAAGCGAGGCATTGCAAGGCAAGCCCCTGAATTCCTATATCGGCAAGGCGGTAGATCAGTAACTGATGGTCGACCATGTCGAACACTGCCAACAGGTCCAACAACAACAGTACTGCCGATCGGCCCCAATCCAGGTGCCTCCGGAGATCGTCCGTGAGGGCGACCAGTGCCGCCTCCGTCCTGTGTCCAGGGCGAAAACCAGACTGGAAGGGGTCTAAGATGGAAGTGTCATCCAGAAAGCTCTGTAGCCGAGTCGCCACTGCCCAAATAGGGAAAATTGGAAACTGGCCGATAGTTGGCCAATTCAGCTGGATCCAGGGATGTTTTTTTCAGGAGAGGACAGACCACTGCTTCTTTGAGAACCCCAGGGAACTGTCCCTCTATTTGGGACTTGTTGATAATCTCCCTTAAGGTGCCTCAAAACCCATCACGGCCAGCTTTAATTAGCCATGATAGGCACAGATCAAGGCAGCATGTGGTACGGCGACTTTCTCTAGGCTGTCAACTTCCTCTAGTCTGAGTGGGCTGAAATGATCCAAAACCTGAGTTGAAGATGTGCATGGAGCCTCGAGCTCGCTCACTGTTTCAACTGTGATGGGGAGGTCGGAGACTTTATTCGTGAAATAGCTCTCAAATGCCTCACAGCCTATGTCCAATTCCCTAGTATTTGGTCTGCCCGGTGGCAGAACAGTTATAGACTGAATTGTTCTAAATAACTGGGCTGGGCATGAACTCGCGGACACAATCATAGCCACATAGTACTCTCTCTTCGCAGCTTTGACTGCCATCTCATAGGATCTCATAAACATCCTATACGATGCTCTTGTGGCTTTGTCTTGAGCGTGCCGCCACCGTCTCTCTAGCCATCTCAGCCCTCACTTCATAAGCCGCAACTCCTGGGTAAACCAAGGAGCCAGCCTAGAGTGGGGGTGCAGAGGGCACCGGGGAGCGATCTTGTTGATGGCTGCGGAGAGTTGGCTATGCCAGTCCCCTACAAGCTCATCTAATGAGCCGCCAGGGTGCATCGGATCCCACAAAGCCGTCTGGAGCCGCACTGGGTCCATTTGGTTCCACGAGTGAGCTAAAATACACTTGCCGCCTAAACAGGGTCAGGATGAAACATTCAGACAGGCCTTCAGGGCATGATGGTCTGACCATGGAACTGCCGAAGCAGTAATCCAGTCCACTGCTACCCCTGCCGTGAAGATCAAATCGAGCGTATGTCCAGCCCAGTGAGTGGGGGTCGTTACATATTGGGAGAGTTCCAGTGCCGTCAGGGACAGTGCTAGGTCCGTTGCCTGAGTGGAGGCCGCATTATCCGCATGGACATTGAAATCACCCAAGACTACCAGTCTAGAGTGTTCCAATGCCCAGCCAGGCATTGAAATTCATAGTCTGAAACAATTATTGCTACAGATACGTTCACTAGGAAATACTAAAAAGCATCTTGACAAGATTTCATGAAGAAGCTCAAGTTTTTCTTCCCCCAAAGTGTAATCCAGCTAGATGCCTAATGGATGGGAACACATCAACACAATTACTGAAGAGTTGTTTCCAATTTTTTTGTTATTGTTAAGGCAGGCAAGACCTATGTTTCCAAGTGCTTAATCAGTTGTAAAATATGCACTATCTAGACTGAGAGTTAGTACAGCACAGAACTGTACAAACACGTATCTACAATCTGTGGCATATTTTACCACTAGTGAGCATCTTCCAAAAAATTATCAAGCACATGGCCACCTCTAATCCTTTGAAAGCACCAAGACCAGCAGATGATATATAACCCACTCAAATGCAGCTCAGGCTTACTTTCATGATATGAAACTGTGGCATTGGTGTGTAGCTGAAACAGTCAAGACAAAAGTTAGTGATATTTCACACCAAGGAAATCAAGACTCACTGTTTAGGAAGAGAACTCTTGTCCTTCAGAAGTACCACAGCTGCTTGAACCATGGCTATGGGTGTAGCAACATAACCAGCCTCTACAAGGTAAAAAAACAAAACATCCTCCTAATTATACTCTCATAGCTTTTACCCTAGCCTTGGATGCAAACTAAAAGTATTATTATGTAAGGAACAGATACCATGAAACCTCTCCCTGAAACACCCATCCTTTCCACTGCCCAACAATCCTTGCTTATGCTTGCCATGACCTCACTTTATGATTATACTGCTGACCTTGCACCCTCCCCCCCAATTTGGATTCTGTGTAAATGTCTTCCACCCAAGCTACACGCCTTTTGTGTAGCTATCATCAGATATCTGCTTCCTCTTAGGTTCACACATTTATTTATTCATATTTATATTCCACCCTCCCCACAAGCGTGCTTAGAGCGGATCACAAACACAACTTCTAGAACGTATCAAAATGTCAATATATATAAGACAAAAACAGCCCATATTAAAACAGAACACGCTATTTATCCTCATACAGAGATTTCCAGCTGGTGCCATTGCTCTCTAGATCTTCTTAGCCTGGGTCATGTGGAGATGGTAGTTTCAGCTGGGGAGGCAGAGATTTTACTGGACCCCCGCCGCCTCAGCCAAAGGCCTGGCAGAACAGCTCCCTTTTGCAGGCCCTGTTGAATGGTAAGAAGTCCTGTGGGGCCCTGATCTCAAGTGGGAGCATATTCCACTAGGCCGGGCCAGGGCCCTTTTCCTGGTCGAGGCTAAGCGGATGTCCCTTGGGCCAGGGATCACCAGCAGGTCTTGTTCCACAGAGCGCAAAGTTCTCCTGGGCACATATGGGGACAGGCGGCCCCTCAGGTATGGTGGTCCCAGACTCCTATCAGTGACCTCCAACTCTAACATGACTTTTTTTCAGAGTAGTTTGAGGCCAGACACTATGGTCAGTAATATGCCTGCTACAGGAGCACACAAGTAATGCTATTGTGACTGTCAAACTTTTCTTCAGTACAAACAGCACGTTTGTGTTTCACAGTAATATTTTCTTGGCAAAGAAGGCTAGAAAAATGAACTGCCATGTTTTCTGTTACAATATTATCTGACAGGATTCCATCACCCAGTGTATACGTGTGTATGTTAAGTGCTGTCAAGTCACTTATGGTGACTTATGGTGACCCTATGAATTAATGACCTCCAATAAGTCTATCGTTAACTAGTCTTGCTCAGGTCTTGCAAACTAAGGGATGTGGTTTCCTTAATTGAGTCAATCCACCTCACGTTGGTTCCTCCTCTTTTCCTGCTCCCTTCAAATTTTCCCAGCATAATTGTACAATAGCCTCAGTTTAGTGATTTTGGCTTTTAGGGAGAATTCAGGCTTGATTTGATCTAGAACCCATTTCTTTGTCTTTGGTAGTCCACAGTATCTAGAAAACTCCTCCAACACCACATTTCAAATGATTCAACTTTCTTTCTGTCAGCTGTCTTCAGTGTCCAACTTTCAACCCTATACATAGTAATGGGGATTACTAGAAGAAGAGGAGTTGGTTTTTAGATCCTGCTTTTCTCTACTCTTAAGAAGTCTCAAGGAGGCTTACAATTGCCTTCTCTTCCTCTCCCCGCAACAGTCACCTTGTGAAGTAGGTGGGGCTAAGGGAGTTCCGAGAGAACTGTGACTGGCCCACAGTCATCCAGCAGGCTTCATGTGGAAGGAGTGCAGAATCAAACCCAGTTCTCCATATTAGAGTCTGCCGCTTTAACCACTATACCACGCTGGTTAATTATCTAAATCTGTCACCAGCAACATATCCTTACACTTAAGGATCTTTTCTAGCCCTTCCCAGTCGCAATCCCCTTCTGATTGCTTGGTTTCAGACTCCCCTTTGGTTGATGATGGAACCAAGGAGTAGAAAATCTTGAACAATTTCACTTTCTTCATCATCAAACTTAAAGTTGTATAATTCCCCAGTAGTCTCTACTTTTTTCTTCTTGATGTTCATCTGTAATCCTGCTTTGGAGTGTTCTATTTTAACCTTCATCAGTACCTGTTTAAGGTCTTTACTATTCACTGCCAGTAATGTGCTGCCACCTGCATATCTCAAATTGTTAATGTTTCTTCTGCCAATTTTCACTCTACCTGCATCAAAACCTAATCCAGTTTTCCTTATGATATGTTGTGCATATAAATTGAACAGATGAGATAAAATGCATCCTTTTCTAACACCTCTGTCTATTGGATAGGGATGGGCATGAACCTAAAAATTCTGATTCTGGATGGGTCCTGAACTGAACCAAAAATGCCCCAAACCAGCCAGTTTGGACCCCCTTTCTCCTGCCGCGGTTTTGGGGGAATCACACAGGAAGGCTTAAATGGCTGGCAGCCATTTCAACTTAACAGTGGGGTGGGTGTGCCCATCCACTGTTGGGCTGAACTGGCTGCTAGCCAATTCGGTGATCTGTTTCACTTCTCCCCGCGCCGCTCAGCTGTTAGGTTTAAATAGCCCAAACAGCCAAACTGAACTGGGCAAAAATCTGGGGAAGGCACCTTCCCTAACCATCGGCTCTGGGGCTTCAAACTGGGTCAAGTTTGTGCTGAATTTTTACTCGTGAATCAGTTCATGCCATCCTTACAATTGGGAACCATTCTGTTTCTCCATATTCTGTCCTAATGGCAGCCTCTTGTCCAGAGTATAGGTTACACATCAAAACAATCATATGTCATCGCATAACCATTTCTTTTAAAACTAACCATAGTTTTTCATGATCCACAATCAAAAACTTTGCTGTAATCTATAAAACACAAGATAATTTTCTTCCGAAATTCTCTTGCATGTTCCAGTAACAAACATAAATTTGCAAAATGATCTCTAGCGCCTCTTCCTTTTCTGTATCCAAGCTTGAATATCTGGCATTTCTCAGTCCATATAGGATAATAGTCTTTGTTGTAAGATGTTGAGCATCACTTTGCTCACATGAGAAACTTATGCAATAGGGTGGTAGTCACTGTAGTCTTTGACATCTCCTTTTTTTGGAACTGTAATGTAGATTGAGCATTTCCAGTCTGTTGTTTTCCATATTTGTTGGCATATTTTTTAAGATTTTGCTATCCCATCTACTCCTGGTGATTTGTTTCTCCCAACTGCTCTGGGTGTAGCTTTCATTTCATTTTCTAAAACTGCAGGTCCTTCAAAAACTTTTTTTGCAAGTGTGTAGTGGTTAAGAGCAATGGAGTCTAATCTGGAGAGCCACATTTGATTCCCCACTCCTCCACATGAAGCCTCGTGGGTTACCCTGGGACAGTAACAGTTCTCTCAGAACTCCCTCAGCCCCAACTACCTGTCTGTTATGGGGAGTGGGAGGGAAAGGTGATTGTAAGCTGTTTTGAGACTCCTTACGGTAGAGAAAAGCAGAGTATAAAAACTTCTTTTTCTTTAAAGGAATCTGTCATCCTTTCATCTCGTCTGTTTTAGTTCTTCAGTGTTATTGTTCCCATCTTTCTCTATTTTGTCCTGTTCAGTTAATGTATTTCTATCTTTCAGCATGCCTAACTGCTCTAAATTTCCCTTTGAGTTCTTGGATATTGTGGAACAGAGCTCTTGTTCTTCTTTTTTGTTGCTCTCTTTTATTTCCTTACAATCTATTTACTTACACTCACTTTAACAGTTCTCTTTGCCTCTATGTGCAAGTTGCTGGAAGTTGCATTTAGACTTCTGGTTCTATTTCTGCCACCTTCTACTTTTGCTTCTTGTCTATCTTTAGCAATTTTAAGAGTTTCATCAGTCATCTGCTAAGGCTTTTCATTTCTTTTGGCTACATGAATATTCTTTGCACATTCTTCCTTGATAATATATCTAGTTTCAACCCATAGTTCTTTCAGTTCACATTCACTTGAACTTAGTAATGCAAATCTGTTTTTAACATGGTCTTTATACTCTACAGAAATACTTCTGTATTGGCGAAGTGGTGATGTCCGTGTATACAATCATCTACTCAGTTGCCAGAAACATTTGTTCACCAGGAACTAATTACTGTCATCACAAAACTGTGTTACCCAAGAAGAAGCATATTTCTATAATGCTTTGGTATGCTTTAGAAGGAGGTACAGAAGATACCACAACTTAGCAAACACACTAGCAGATCTGGATAATAAGACACAGAATCAATTCAGATGATCATCTAAAGCCATAGTTGGTGGATCAAAACCCACCATACACTGACACACTTAATCCTCCTCTTAGTTTCATGTTTAATGCAACCAATTTGCCACTACATCCAACTGGGAAATTATGGTTAGCACTGAATAGGGTGTACAGAGAATCATATTTCATGTAAGAGGAAGAGAGAATGTACCAGTCTATAATTCATTCATAATTACAGAAGCAAGAAGCCAACCACTTTAAACCATTTAGCAAAATTGTTTAGAATTAGAGGTTTTAGCAAAAATAGTTGGAATTATTTATGGAAAGTGAGGGTGAATTTAATTAAATTCTACTTTCCGCTGGGGAAAAAACTTCAGCAAAATGTACCTTTGTGTGAAGGAATTTACTAATTAACATATGCATAAGCAAGAACTGGTACTTTGCCACTCCCCTTTCCCACATGGTCAGTTCTAATGCACTGACTCTTTATATAGATAATATATTACTATGTTAAAGTATTCAGGCACAGGTTCATATAATTAAACATGATACAATGTGGTTAACTCTACCTGGTCCCTTCACTTGAGTGCAGATTTTTACATTTGGTTTGCCCTGTTGTGGATCTTGTCCTACGCTGTATCCCTCACCAAAAAAGGTCATTTCAAAAGACGATCCTTCCATCTGTAATATAAAACACAAGAAATAAACAGTATTAGACTCTGGGTATAATAAAATTTACATTAATATACCCCTTTATTACAGCCCAATTCACATGTTTGTTTTTGAGGTGAAAGAATCACTGGTTGTAGTTTATCACCTCACTTTGAGACAGAAAGGAATGAAAAATATTGACTAAGAAGATGTTGAGTGAAGTGGTTTGTAGAGACCATGCCATTCCAATCTTGGCCCACCTACACTGCCTCCCAATTTGTTTCTGGGCACCATTCAAGGTGCTGGTGTTGACCTTTAAAGCCCTGTATGGCTTGGGACCAACATATCTAAAGGACCACCTACCCACCCAACCACTACAGTTATCTTTGGAGGGCCTACTTCATGTGCTCCCCCCCCCCGATGTTGGCAGTGGCTACCCAGAAGAGGGCCCATCCAGAACAGAAGATAGGTCATTTCATGGATCAGAACTTCCCCCACAAGTAGCACTTACATTTTTGTCACAATTATATTTCAGCTTTCCCCCCCATATCCATTCCAAAACTGCCTTCTGTTCATAGTTTCCACAACCTCCCTGGGACCACTGTTTTATCTAATCATTCTTTAATTATTACTTTATAGAAACCTACCCTGTGACCAAACAATATCAACAAAAAATGGAAGTACTAGCTACCTGTTTTTGTGTTGGCCCGTCCTTTGTAAAATGTCCTCCAGAGAAAAACTCAGGATACTGAAACAGGAATACCCACAGTAAGGTTCAGGAAAACAGGTAAGAATATCAAACTTCAATGTATTTTAAAAAAAATTAAATAAACAAACCTACTTTTATCAGAAGCTTTCTTCCAAAGTTGAACTTAACAAGAATTAAAAATAAAAGTCCAGCAAACATCAATTTAATGACAGATCCAATGCCTCCCACAGTTGCATATGCAGCATACTGCACCTGAGCAAAAGAGAAAACTGCTATAGTTAACTGTAGCCATGTGCATATTATTCTGTAGTACAAATGTCAATAGTAGTGATTCACTGAGAACTGAGCCTTGGGTAGACCAGAGCTCCACACTACAACATGAAAGATAACTGGCTGTATATGACTATCATCTTTCATTATGGGCAATAGAAGGACAGTTCTAGATGTCGAAGAAAACTATACCCATTAGTGCAATGATTGAAATAGCAGAGATCCATCATCAGTACTGCTATATCCAACTACTAGGTAGCAAAACAGGGTAGCCAACTGCTGCTTTAAAAGAAAGTTGGTGGAAGCTGTCCTGCAGTGAATGCTTAACTTGTAAAGAAATCTAAGGCACTATTGCAGCAGGAACAAAAAAGACTTAGCTGCTCTTCACTGTTACTTGTTAATGTAAAAGATTTACATAAGCACTCTTCTACACAAGTGGTACAGTAAGCATAATATTCACAGCAAACATAAAACCTTTATTGGCATGAAAGCACAAAACATCATAGAAATACAGGAAAAGGGCATAATATTCTATAAGAAAGAAAACAGAAGTTTTCAAGATGTTTATAAATGCAGAATAATACTGCTAAACTCTGACATACACATAACTGCATGCTGAAAACAGTACAAAATCTAATCTTATGAACACTTAAGTAAACTTACAGGTGTCTCCTGTAAATGTGTGTGCAAATAACGCTGAGTTCTTTTGACAACAGAGACATCTGATCCCATGAATGGAATGGAATACTGAGAGAGTTCGTTACTGTAAAACACTGCACCTCTGCCAACAGAAGCAAAAAAAAATTAAAGTTCAATGAAGTCTTTGAGCCAAGACACTAGTAATATCTTGTCTTTTCAAATACAAGGATCTTCATAGAGAAATTAATCCCTCTCTATTTTTATCTCTGGAAAAATCAGTTCATTTAATTAAACAATTAAGGCATTGAAAAGTTCCATTACCTTGCAGTTCAGACTGGAAACACATTATAACTTACAAAAATATTAAACATTACAGACATTACTGCGTACATAAATTTCTTATACCTTCTCTTCAGTTTGGCTCCAATGACTGGAAGAGGTTTGTGTCCAATTTGTCTTCTGATTTTCTTCAGATTGTCTTGATCTGCAAGTCCATAAATTGCTGATTTCCAGGTTCCATCATGAATAGAGGAACCCTGTTAAAATGTCATGTATGCAGCACACTAAGTTAAACTTTTAATCATTTCAACATACTAACAGCAATAGGCACACCAATGAAAACACATTCTAGAATTCAGCTGAAGGCAGTATTCCGTCATCAATTCCACACCTCCCAAAGTTGATCAGTATGTCTCCTCTAATAGAAACAATCGTATGTTGCAAACAGTAGGATGAGGACAAGAGCACAGGATATTTGGTGCCGCCTGTACTAGGTAACCACCCCACATCAAGAATATTTCAGTTCATAAATCTGTTTTACTGGGCTGGAGAGAGTTCTTTTTTCCTCTTCAGTGTTGCATCTGTTTCTCTTTCTACTGTATTACTAATAGGGATGGACACGAACCAGCTGACAAACCAAAGTTCATCAGGAATTTTGGCTGGTTTGAAGTTTGTGAACCAAGGTTTATGAACTGACGAACCACAACAAACTTCTCTGAAATCTGGTTATTTGTGACCCTTCATGAAGAGCTCTCCACGAGAAACAGCTGAGGAGCTGGGAGCTCCCCGCTGCTCAGCTGTTTGGTTTAAATGCCTCAGAGCCATTTAAACCCTGCTTTGAGCTCCCCACAGCTTTTTGCGGGGAGCAGAAAGCAGAGATTAAATAGCTCAGAGCCACTTAAACCAGTAGCTGATAGGCGGGGAGAATTCTCTCTGCCATCTCACCTGTGGGCTCCCTCATGCAGCCTGGTTTAAAGGGGCTGCAGGAGGGAGCCCAAGACAGCAGAGCCGGCAGGGAGAGCTCTCCCCACCGGCCCAGCTGTGGGCTCCCTGATACAAAAAGTTCTCCCTGCCAGCTCAGCAGTCTTGGGCTCTCTCCTGCAGCCCCTTTAAACTGAGCTCCAGCCCATTTAAAGGGGCTACACCAGGGAGCCAGAGGCAGCTGAACTGGTGCAGAGAGCCTTCTCCCTGCTGCCCTAGCTGTCTCAGACTTGCTGGCGCAGCCTGCTTAAAGGGGCTACACCAGGGAGCCAGCAGCTGCCTCTGGTTCCCTGGTATAGCCCCTTTAAATGGGCTGCGCCAGCCAGGAGAAAGGGAGATGGGATCGCTGGGGAAGAGGCTTCCCATCTCCCTCTGTTTGGTGCAATGATTAAGAGCAACGGACTGGAGAACCGGGTTTGATTCCCCACTCCTCCATATACAGTCAGCTGGGTGACCTTGGGTCAGTCACAGTTCTCTCAGCCCCACCTACCTCACAGGGTGTCTGTTGTGGGGAGAGGAAGGGAAGGTGATTGTAAGCCGCTCTGAGATTCCTTTGGCCAGTAAAAACAGGGTATAAAAACCAAACCACCTTCTCTCTCCTGGCCACTCAGCCAAGAGACAGGGAGACAGGATCGCTGAGGAAGAGGCATCCCACCTCTGTCTCTCTTGACTGTGCTGTTCTCCCCACCAGCACAGTGGTCTTAGGTTCCCTCCTGCAGTCCCTTTAAACTGGGCTGCAAGAGGGAGCCCACAGCTGGGACAGCGGAGAGAGCTCTCCCATGCAGCCCAGTTTAAAAGGGCTACACCAGCGAGCCTCAGACAGCAGGGCCAGCACGTAGAAGGCTGTCCACGCTGGCTGAGCTGCCTCTGGCTCCATCTTGCAGCCCGGTTTAAAGGAGATGCAGGAGGGAACCCAAGACTGCTGAGGTGTCAGGGAGAGCTGTGCAGTCAAGAGAGAGGGAGATGGGGCGCCTCTTCCCCAGCAATCCCATCCCCTTCTCCTGGCTGCGTGGTCAGGAGAAAGGGAGATGGGGCGCCTCTTCCCCGGTAATCCCATCTTCCTTTCTTCTGGCTGGTGGCAGCCCATTTAAAGAGGGTATGCCAAGGAGCCAAAGGCATCTGTCAGCTCCCTGTGTAGCCCCCTTACAGGGGCTGTGCGAGCAAGCCCAAGACAGCTGGGCCAGTGCAGAGAAGGGTCTTTTCCCTGCCTCAGCTATCTCTGGCTCCTTGGTGTAGCCCCATTAAATGGGCTCCCTCTTGTAGCCTGGTTTAATGGGGCTGCAGGATGGAGCCCAAGAGCACTGAGCTAGCAGGGAGAGCTACACAGCTGGGAGAGAGGGAGATGGGAAGCCTCTTCCCCGGTGATACTGTCTCCCTTTCTCCTGCGCATGGCAGTCCCTTTAAACTGCGCATGGCAGGAGAAAGGGGGAAGGGAAGTCTTTTCCTGGGCAATCCGTGCCCTCTTTCTCCCGCCTGAAGAACCGAACTTCCCAGACTGGTTTGTGTGGGGCCCATTTGGCTTAGTTCGGGAGCAGCACTGAGCCCTGAAACCAACCACTTTTTTTTAGGTTTGTGCCCATCCCTAATTAAAATATTATTCTCACCCCATTTTTCTTTCCAAAATGGTATACAGATGTAACAAGTGTCAAATAGCTGATTTCCCAATATAAGCAGCAAACAACCTCTTCCTTATTTCCCAGTCCATAATGTTCAGGTTGGATTATCACAAACTAATGTTGCATTACTCTGGTACTGACAGAGGAATGCAGAAGCAAATCCCCGGGAATGTTATTCTGCCATCCCTGACAGGTTTGTACCACCAATATAATCAATTATTAGTTAACTATTTTTCACTGCCTGCTCAAAGACTAATGAATTTAATTTGTATATCTGATGGATGCTGAACACAAGCTTAGCAAACAATGGGTAACAAACCTCAGGGCCAGATTTTACGTTCAGGAAACTTTCAATTGCAGTTAAGGTACCTTTAAAAAAGAGTAAATTCATGGTCACAGTGAAGAACCAAACTGTAGTTATCAGCAAAATAATTAAAGCAATCAATATTATGGGATTTAAATATATTTACACTACAAAATAATACATAATAAGATTAAGAAGCAATCCTGGAGGTTTTTTTGTCATCTTCTGGGCATGGAACAGCGGTCACTGCAGGTGTGGAGGGGGGGTATTTGTGAATTTCCTGCATTGTGTAGGGGGCTGGACTAGATGACCCTGGAGGTCCCTTCCAACTCTATGATTCTATGATTCAAATCAGAATTTAATTAATTCACATAATTCACATAAGATATCATGGGAATCCTGCACAACTGTCATATTGAATAAAATATTGTTGTTTCTTTCAGTATTAGAATTGTCATTATGCTTATTTAATTTGATTTGTATCCCTCCCTCCCTGTAAGTGGGCTCAGGGCAGGTTCCATCATAAAATTCACAATACAACAAAACAACCGTTAACATATATCTAAAAACCGATCTAAAAACAGTAATCAAAGATGCTCTTAGGTAAACATACCAAACTTCAGTGCAGAATAAGATTTAACACTGGGCACAATCCTTGGCCTGGCTCCACCAGAAATCTCCTCTGGTGGAAGAGATTCCCAATCGCAGAACACAACCTTCTCACCTCCCCCTCTTGCACTGCAGCCCCAAGTGTCCCCGCCAAATGTTGCTACTTGGGGACAGGGGACTCCTAGGAACAGCATGAGGGAGGAGTTGAGGAAAACTGACTCCCCTTCTGTACCTGGAAATCCTCCCGATTTATCCTTTTTCTTGCACTGACAAAGTATCATGCATGGAGATCCCATACAGAAAATCACCATATTATTTAGGATTATCCATCCCATTAAGATTTTACCAACTAATGGAGCTCTCCTGAGTATGGTAATCAGCACTACCAAATTTATCTTTGTTGAGCAGCAAGTCTAAGAGGGAGGCCCTATCAGGCAAGAAAAATTTAGAACCCAGATACTGCAAGTACTGCAAGCAGCAGGAAGGTGGAGGTGAAGCACACACACCCATCATCATAATCTCTACCAACTAACAGTCCCCGGTACACAGTGTTCTGCCAAAACCCAGCAGATGCTGCACCGTTTAACAAAGGTTCTTGCACTGTGTTAAAAAAATGGAATTGCAAATCTCAGCAACTGGCTCTAATTTTAGAAGAGTGATTGATTTTAACTGTAAGCTTTGGAAAGCCTATATGGTTGAAAAGCGGGGTATAAACACAGAAAAGTACAAAAGCATACCGTGATTCTGTGCCTGTTCAAAATTTAAAACGTCAACCAAACAAAAACACTATTACTGTTTCTATACCAGTTACCAAGCATGAGTTACCTTTCAAATTGTTTCTGGTGTATAATACTCCCATATCTGCTGGAATAGAGTCAAAGCCACAGCTTCCAATAACATATACCCCTTTTTCTGCAGCCTTGTCATTATAATTCAGGTACATTCCTTCCAGAAACTGGAAGAGAAGTGCAACAATGTTGTATGGGAAAAACAGACAGTACTTTATCCGATTTCACAAATTTAGACAATCACTGTATCCTAACTCTCACAGTTGTGTTACTGGTATCATGTTCACTAACTGACATTCCACCTTTCAGGAATTTGTTCTATATAGCAGGATCAAAATGCTCAATAATTAAGTGAGTGAGTGTGTGTATGTGTGTAAAGTGCCATCAAGCTGTAACTGATTTATGGTGACCCCTGCAAGCAGAAGTGAGAAGCAGAGATGGTTTGCCATTGCCTTCCTCTGCAGAGTCTTCTTCGGTGGTCTCCCATCCCCGATTAGCTTCCAAGATCTGATGAGATTGGGCTATACCATTTAGCTTTCCCTCCCAATTAAGTGCTTACACATAACTATAATCAACAAATATTATAAAGGAACAATCCATGCTGTCACTGCCTCCTCCACCACTATTTGACTCTAAAGTTACTTTAATGCAGACACACTATGTGTTTGCTGTACTTAGCATTTACAGTAATGATGAGCAGATGTGCCTGCATTCACTCAAAAACAAATGTTTGCCTAAATAATCTGAACTGTGGACTGGGCCCCTAGTCCCGGTACATACTGACCATTATTGTTTTAGTCTCCACTACAGAAAATCAAAAGGCCTATCTACAACACACGACTTTTCCCTAACTTACCAAGAAGGGTAACAGCAGGGCACTAAGTAAGACCTTCCCCAGAGGCCCTGAATAAGCTTTGCAAAAATATGCAGCAGTTTCCATGGATGCTGGGAAACATACTGCTCCCGCTTCACAGCATGCCAGGATGCTTAAGCAGAGATGCAATAAAATGTTATATTATGGTCAGATGCAGAAGTATAGATACTTAGAAACAAAATATCAGAGACTTAATGTCTTGTTTTTCCCAATTCCACATACCTGAGGTTCTCCACTGATGTCGATATAGCTGGCACCATTCTCAACACAAGCTTTTACTACAGGTTCTCCAAAAAACCTGTACTGTAGGACAAAATAAAACTGATTACTTGTTTGAAAAATCAAACTATCTAATTCATACTTCATACTTTGAATAGGGCTATTAGCCAAGTGAAGAATCTTTGCTGATTAACTGTATGAGTTCTACTACATTAAATTGTATCTCCAAAGATCAAAGGTTCTTTTTCTCTAAGCAATACGCAGGCAATGAACACATAAATGGTGAAGGAAAATAAGATTATATTCATTAGTTTAAGTAGCCTACTGAAGAACATCACATTTATAGAATTACTGCATGAAAATATTACGTCTTCATCTCTTCAGCTATTGGGAACTCCTGGAGAACAACAACAGACCCCCTGGAACTGGCCAGCAGCACAGCACTGTATCCGCTGTTGCAGTCTGCATGGAGGTTCCAGGAAGTCCATATGTTGTTGTTCTACAGGGGTTCCTGACAGCTAAAGGGACGTAAGCATATTATTTGCTTGCACTGCTTCTTCTGTAGATGTGGCTTTCTTTTGTACACTTAAGCTACTTAATGAAATCTATTTTCCTTCATCATTTGTGTATTCATTGTCTTTGTATTGCTTAGAGGAAAAGAACAATTGCTCCTCGGTAATACATTAATTCAATCTGCATGCAAGCCAAACTTTTTGAAGAAAAGTAAACTTTCTCACAGCATGCAACTACTTAGAAGACAAATTCACCCCTCTTTTTCACACAGGAAAGAATGATTCTTCTAATACCTGACATCTAGTTTCACAAAGTACTTGTACTAAAACTATTTTTAAACAAATTGTCCTTTTAAATAAGGGTCAAGATTTTAAATTGAACAAAATGTTTTAAACAGCAATCTACTAAATGCCTTCCTTATATTGAAATATTCAATTTTAGACAATACACAACTAATAGATTTTCTACATAATAGGTCTATAGCAGGGGTGGCCAAACTAGTTTAATGATAATAAAAAGCAAATTTGCCTATTTTTCAATAAAACATGTGTGTAATATTTGCTCATGTCTTGCGGTTCTCAAACATCTGACATTTGTTCTATGAGGCTGTTACGTTAAGCAAGCTTGGCCACCTCTGTTTTTTAAACAGTAATGTTAAGGACTGTATGGCAGAAACTGAAAATTTAATCTTTTCTATCATGGAGTTATTGTATCCCACCAATCTGTCTCAGTCCAGAAGTCCAGGCATGAAAATGAAATGAACAAAAATTATTGTATAATTTTTGCTTATTTTATAAGAAGGGTTTTTTTTAAGTGGCCTATCATTTATTCATTATAATGATTTTAACATTATTAGCTGAATGTATATATTATGTTTAATGTTAGAAGCTAACCTGATTTCATGAAGAACTCTAAATAAACCTTTTCAGTAACATACTGCTATTTTTCATACTATTTGTACACTATTTCTATTTATCTAGGAAATATGCACGTTTCAATTACTGACCTTTACCCTAGGATTAGTGAGTGAGCAGAAAGAACTTTGCAACAGCATGAAGCAACCACTCCCATTTTCTCCCTCCCTGCTTACAATCCCAGCTCACTTAACTACAAACACTCAGCTTTTGACAGAACAGCATAAACTATTACTCATTAAAAATATTCATAAGTCATTTACATGTTATAACTGTACATATAATCAGTAAGGACAGAAGGAAAACAAGCTAATAAAAATGTTTTGCCTTATTATGAAGAATTATTCTTGCCAGTTGTTCAGGGTACAACAAATTAGGAGAGAAATGGAAAGCAACTGGTTCTACTGCTATCATCACTTCACCACAGTTTAAAGGGGCCTGAAAGGACTTTTGAATTGTAATTGGTAATTTCCAAGCTTGCAAATCTGTAGAAGTGGAGCTATCAAATTGTGTCCAGCAATCAGTCACGCTACATGCTGATCTGTCCAATGCTGCACTTCAGCAGCCTGGTATTTGCTGGGAAGAAAAAAAGCTTCTTTTGGTGCCTCTATGTTAATTAAGTATAACCAACAAGGGCAGTAAGTACAGCTACTTCAAAAAGTGCCAGACCAAACTATATTCTCAATTAACATTTTCTTCTCTTTCATCAAGTGTTTCTCATAATTTCTTTAAAAATCGGTTTTAGCTTCATTGTATTAGGCAGAAGGATTTTCTATTTTAAGATGTGTTCATTTAGGAAACTTTTCAGTTTAACAGACTTCAACATTTTTCCTTTTCAAAATCATGACCTTGCAAAATATACTGGACATTTACAAAGTATACATAAGAACATTTTGTTTACTCCTTTAAAAAGATCAAGATGCTTACAGGGCCTACACAGTTCAGAACAATAGCTGCTTGTTTAGCCATATTAGCAAGAGATGTTGAATCACTGACATCACACAGGATTATATCAACTTCTTTCAGCTCTGCCTTCCCTGAAATTGGAAAGAAAAATGTTACAATGAATACTGGACACTATTTCATTATTTCTGTCCAATCTACTCCTTCCTTTTTCTTAATCATCCTTATTAACTACTAGGTTAAGAGAAGGAAATAAGGACTAATGCAAAATTCTTTAACAAACAACTAGCTGGAAAATTAAATTCAGGGGCTTTCTTTGCTGTTGTGCTTATATAAAATGTGGACTCTACTGTATCTCTCCCAAGGTACTTTTTCAAAATAAATGAGTACCTGTGGGAAGATGGAGTATCACAGGGTATCACTATAAAGCTCTTCAGAAACTGCGGGAAACTAGTTAAAAACAATTCAGAATAAGAAGACAACCATACAGTAACAAATGTTGATTGTTATCCCAGTCATTCCATCTGAATAAGATAAACTACCAATCTGGTTTTGGAGAACAATTACAGCAATTTGTGATTAATTTATTATTATTTTTTACAACTAGAAATTGTAGCACCAACACCACACACTTTTTCAGGAAGACAAATGTTTCCAATATTAAATCAAGAATCCTGGGGCTGTAAAGTGAAGCAATCCTGCAAGTTTCAACTGAAACATATCAGCAAAACTATCTAGGAGATTAAGAAGCAAAATTGTGCAACATAAAAAAAACCTTCCAGCAACACAGCACATTCACATTTTTATGCATAAATACAAAAAACATAAATTTTAAAAATCCAAATATGCTATGCCGCTGGAAGTTTTACTGACTAAGCATGAGAGCCTCTTGCCAGAAACAATTACCATAAAAGTCAGGACAGAGAGAACAGCCCTGTGCGGACATGTACAAAAGATTGCAAAAGCAAGACTTAAATAAGCAAAGTAACCTTTACTATTCATTTCACCACGAATACAATTACTGCTATTTTAACAAGAAAGCCCCCACAAGTGACTAAGGCTGCAATCTTAAACACACTTACACTGAAGTAAGTACCACTGAAAAGAGGTACATACTTCAGAATAAATATGCACAGAACTATGCTCAATATAGCATAGCAACGTGAACATTACCAGAGCTGCATAAGCATGCGAACTGTGGGCTGGATCCAAACTCAAGCAAAACCAGAGGGTGGCAGCAAAGAAGGGGCATTGGGTTCAACCACTCCCACTTGCACAATTTTTGCTCCTTTTTCCATTCTGTGGTCCCGTTCACACGAGGGGATTTGGGCCAGTAGTGGGACGGTTCAGGGGCGGAGCAAATGGCCACGATCACACCACAACATCTGGGAAGCGTAGTGCTTCCGTTCCCGAACTGGCCCATCCACGCGATAAACCGCTCCAAGTTGGAACCACCTACCGAGGTGGTTCATCCCAATGGTGCGCCGCAAACCGGGAGTCTGAGCGCCGGCGCATCCCTGGCTCCTAGGCGAACTGCGCATGCTCCGACATGCGCAGTTTGGCTGGCTCGCCGTCCGATCTGTGTTTTCTCCCCTGCATCTGATCGTGCCGGGGAGAAAGGCGGCGCGGCCAGGGGATCCGTGGGATCCCGCCGCGCCGTTTCAACTTTGGCGTGGCTTTTAAAAGCCACGCTTTTTGGCGGCTTTTCCCCTGCCGTGTGGCAGGGGCCACAGTCATTCAATTCTGAACTATCCAAATTACAAAGGCTAGAACAAGGATGATCAAATAATCAGAGTGGTCTATTTTCAGGAGCCACCTCTTCTATTAAATTTAAGAGGTCTTGGTTCAAGATCCATCTCTTCCATTCACAAATCACTATTTCTCAGGTTCAGTTTTCTATATGGAAATAACGCCTTCCCTCATAAACTTCTGAGGTAACATAATAAAAACAGTGAAGCCATTTGCAATTAAAAGTGCTAAGCAGTAGGTGCTCTGCCCTTCCAAATACAAGAAATGTACAGTCTAGTTTCTGCACTAAGTCCAAAGGCAATTTGCATTGTCCTCATCAGGCAAACCCATTTTCCCATCTCCAAAACAAGGTACAGGGAGACGCTGAAAATTCCACATGGGTATCTATGTCAGGAATCTAGCAGCACCTTAAAGACTAATAAAATGTATTCCAGCATAATCTTTTATAAGACATAGGTAACTGAAACAAACACATAGGAGTGTAAATCCATCAGGCCCAATTTATATGCACAACGGAAAGCGTGGGTGTGTTAAAGAGGAGGCTGGTTCAATACAAACCCTAATCCTAAAAGCATGGGTGTAAGATAGTTCCAACTGTTGTTAAATAGTCAAAACGTAAAATTTAGTGTAAAATGAAAGAACATAAGCAAAGAGAATAGGAAGCTGCAGAGGGTTTACTGAAGTACAGTAGGTGGCGAGTTTCTTGATGAATGCTAACTAAGCAATTTCCCATTGAATTTTCCCTTTAAAGTTCTTTTATCGGAGAATGGTGACTTTCAGAACAGCAGCAGATTGCCTCAGAAAATTAAAATGAACCCCCATTAGTTTCTGAATACTGCAATTTTTGATTACAGTCTTGTGTCCATCTATTCTTTTGAGCAAGGACTGACCTAATGACTCCATCGCTGGGAAGCAGCAGAGATATATGGTGATATTTCCCCCCCTCCTCGCTCACGTCCAAG